TCCACTGTTGTAGTGTAGACTGGTGTAACCACTGTGGAAATCAGTGGAGATTTCTCAAAAAACTAAAACTAGAAGTTCCATTTGACCCAGCTGTACCTCTATCTTCCCAAAAGAATTAAAAGCATCATACCACAGTGATATATGCACACCAATGTTTATAGCAGCACAGTTTACAATAGCTAAACAGCCCAAATGCCCATCAACTGATGAGTGGATAAAGAAGATGTAGTTTTTTTTTTAATATATACAATGGCACTATTCTTCCATAAAGAAGGATGAGCTTCAAACAATCATAACTAAATGGATGCACCTTGAGTCCATATTCTTAAGTGAAATAAATTGGACACACATGGTCAAATATTGCACTGTTTCTCTGGTGTGAGAAAACAAAAGTGGGAAATAAGGACTGAAATGTATAATGGATATTGGGAAATGGGAAGAAAGTGTTCAAATGGGAAGGGGAATAAGGTAGGAGGGAGGAGAAAGAAAGGAAAGGACAAGAAAACAAGTGAAAATAGAAGGAAAAAATGGAAACAAAGCTGTTGTACGTAGTGAGAGGAGGTGGCTAAAGGGGAGAAATGGGATAAAATAAAATAAAATTTATAAAGATGTTGAGGGCCAGAGATTTAGCTCAGTGGTGCCACTGCCTGCCTCACAAGCGCAAGGTCATCAGTTCAATCCCCAGTACCAAAAAAATAAAAAAATAAAAAGTTGGACCAACCATGGATACTTGTTCGGCTTCTACCTATATGTAATGTATTAGTTAGCTTTCCCACTGCAGGAACCAAATACCTGACACCCACAATTTACAGGAAGAGAAGTTTATTTGCTTTATATTTTGGGAGGTTTCAGTCCAAGGTAGGCTGGCTCCAAGACAGAAATGGCATGATGGAAAGGCTGACAGGAGAAAGCTATTCAACTCATGGCAGCCAGGAAGCAGAGAAAGCAGGAAGAGCCAGAGGGGTGTGTGTGTGCATGTGTGTGCGGATATGCATGTGTGTGCATGTGTTATTCTCCAATGGCATGCCTATAGTGACCTACTTCCTCCAAGTGGGGCCCATTTCCTAACAGCACATTCAGCTATGATCTTTAATGGATTAATCCACCAATGAGAAAAGTTACCCCGTGATACAATTACTTTCCAAAAACTTCATCTGAGAACACATGAGACTTTGAGGGCCTTTTCATATCACAAACAAGGTACCCAACTATGCTTCCAAATTTCCTGGAAAAAATCCTAATTCTAATAATGTAATTCTTCCATTTTTTAACTTGTTTCTGATAATTCTTGAGCTGTCTTTCCCCCATGTGTTTACTAGTCATTTATATTTGCTTTTTAATGAATTCATCCATCAATGCTTTTGCCTATTTTCCCGTTGAACAAGATCTTAGGAACTATTAGCAGAGTAGTTGTCAAGGCTCAGAAAACTTACGAACATCACCTGGACTGTCAGGTTACCTAGCTGGACCCTAACTTTGCCTCTTTCTAATTTCAAAGTCAGTGTTTTCAGCTACTATATTCATACCTACATTCTCAGGAAGTCCCTATAAAAGGAATAGTCACCCAAAAAACAAACAAATGTAGAGAATATTTTACTGTCACATATTACCTCATTAGAATATCTTAGAAGCAATAGCACCTTTCCTGATAGGGCTTTGGATGTTACCAAGTTTTCTCATTTTTCAAAAAAATCTTTTAACTGTATATATTTCTCTCCATGCAAAATTAGTAGCTTTTTTTAAAAAAAAATTACTAGCATTTGAAAGTGTTCTGTGGTCAACAAAATCTTCCCATTAAGATGTTCTATTCTTACATTTACCTAAGTCTCTTTGAGAGAACAATGCGTGCTCTCTGAAAAAGGATAAGAGGAAAAATACAACCTTCTTTAAAAAGATATTTTAGTTAGACTGCATATTTGGTCATGGTGGCAGAAATCCAAAGTGATAGTGAGCTAAACAAAATATGAATTTCTTTCTTGTTAAAGTCATATGGTGGGTAGGGTGGCATCATGGCATCAGTGAAAAGGACATGTTCTGCTCTATATTTTCTCTCTCTCGGGCCTTCCCTCCTCCACAGAATCCAGGATGACTCATGACCAATTTTGCCTTCTCTGGTCGGGAAGCAGGAAGAGAAAGCTCTTAAAAAAAAAAAAAGAACAAGCAAGAAGAAGTTCATACCAATTCCACCTACTTCCCATTAGTCCAAATTTTGATACATAACTTACATTGTGTTATAAGAAAAGCTAGAAAATACAGCCTTTATTTTGGGAAGCCATTAATTCAGTTAAAATCAGGAAAAGAGGGAATTCTTATTGGGAAATAACTAGCAATGTTTGTCTTCACCAGACAGAAGGTAACTTTTCATCCTACATAAGCAATTGACTGAGTTCAAATCTTGATTTTGCCTCTTGCAAACTGGACCTCTCTCAGGCATATTTTCTTACCTATGAAACAGATAATAAATAGACACTAGTATTTATAGTTATCCTTCAGAGAATCTTGCATATAGTATGTGGTCAACAATGAAGGGTCACTTTCTTCCTCCCCTCCTAGAAAGTAGACAACTGGAAATCCCATCAGAAGGCTGTGTTGAATGGTAGCTGAAGGCTTAGAGCCCAGACTTGTTCATGGGAATGTCACCTTCTGTATGGATATATGCACTGAGAGACAACCACTGGAGAGTTTAAAATAAATGACTATGAAAGCTTCTCTCTGAGCATGCAGAGTTCATAGAGATTAAAAATGAAAGCCATGGGCCGAGGATTTAGCTCAGTGGTTTCGCCGCCTGCTGCGCAAGCACAAGGACCCGAGTTCGATCCCCGGTACCAAAAAAAAAAAAAAAAAGAAAGCCATAAGGCAGCAGGCTGTACAGTGCAACCAAAGCCTGGTAATCAAGTCAGTAACTTGTGTTATCTTTCAACATACATGAGTGAAATCAGAAATGCTGATTAGCTGAGGCCCAATCTGGCATTTATACCTATATAAAAGAGACATGGATTTAAAAATAAATAAATGAAGCACTGAGACTTTTCTAACCATGAAAATAGAATTATAAAGCCATTTGTTATTTTCCTATCATTTTGCTTCACAAAGACACTTGTAGTCCTCAGGGGCAAGCCTATTCTCCCTCCTATTCACCCAACAGCTTCTCTGGTGCCACTGAGAGGGGAAGTCCAGCCCATCTGTGGCTAAGTCTTTTGTCTCTGATTGTTAGAGGAATTTTCGGACTTCTAGAGTCATGGATTGCAGCTGGACAAAAGTCTATACAGGAAATCCACTCCTTTCTCTGACTTGGCCAAAGACACACAATGCCTAGGTCACTCCCCCAGCCCTATCCCTCCTAGAGAAGTGTATGTACGTGTCCTTTGGAGTTCAAAGGTGGCAAACTGCCAGTAAGTATTTGATATTTGAACTTAAAAAAACCTTAATTTTCAACAAACATTGGATAATTGGATATTTCATATTTAAATATGAAATTGAGCCTGGTTGAGGCAATCATTGTTATGGCTTATATCTAGATGTCCCCTCAAAGCCTTATGCAGTATTAGATGGGGCTTTTCAGAGGTGGCTTGATCTAGACAGTGTGATGCTGGGATTAAAGGTATAATGTTGGGATTAGGGGTGTGATGCTGGAATTAAGGGTGTGTGATTACTAAATTAGTCTAATAATTGGTTTAACATAGTTCCAGGTGTGGAGAATAGGAAGGCCCAACTAAAGGTGGGTGGCACCATCCAAAAGGAGGGTAGCCTGGAAAAGATAAAAGGGAGAGGCAGGCTGCTTCTTGCTGCTTCTGGTCTTCTACCTGCCCTGCCATGCTATGTTTTTCCTCTGTGTGATGCCCCTCTGCCATGCAACCCTTCCTTAGAGCCAACCACCTTTGGGCTGGAACCTCTCCAAACTGAGACAAATAAACCTTTCCTCCTTTAATTTTGGGCATTGGGTATTTTGTCTTAGCAACAAGGAAAGTAACTAAGACAATCATATTTATCCTATACAAGTTTAAAGTCATTCTTGATTTTTAAAACAACCCTTTGAATTATAAATTCATTTGTACACTATTTCAAAGCATCTGGCTCCTCTACTTTCTGGTTTTCTAGATTTGGAGAAATTATGTAACTTGTCTGTGTCTCAGTTTCATGTTTGAACCCTACTCCAAGAACATAAATTCTATTCAGCAGACATATTTTCCTCTTTTGATTACTGATGTATCCTCTGTGGTTAGAATGGTACTTAGCCCATAGTAGGTATTCAATAGCTGCTAAATGAATCAATCAAATGGGAATGATAATTCAGTATTATTATAAATATTAAATAATCCAGTATTGGCAAAGCACCTGGCCCTGAACCTAACTCTTGCTGCTTGTTTAATGTTGGCTGTCATTATTTGATGAGTATCTACATTTACATCATGCTGTACTGATTAAAAATATGATTAAAATACTGATTAAAAGTATGCTTGAGCATACTTTTATATCAAATGTCCCCTAAACTATGATTATTTATTGCCATCAGGAAGAGATTAGTAGAATCACTTTTTGCTTTGTATTTGTGTACACAGTACAAGAAAGTGCTCCATCAACATTCCACTGACATTGCTGTTGTCACAGTGATTGGTGACGGCCATATTGCTTACCCAATGGCATGTCTGCAGTCAGTCCTTGTCTCATATGCCCTGTGTACTCCACAGGCACAGCTGATCATTCTTCCTAAACTTCTTCCCTTGTTTGGTATCCAGAGTGCCTATACTTTCCTTTGTTTTCTCCTCCTCCACTTATGGCTCCTTTTAGTCTCTTTCCCAGTCTATTAAGTTGGCATCTGCAAATCTCAATCCTTGGAGTTATATTTATATTTTCTCCCTGTGTTGATCAAGGCCCTGACAGAAGAGTTGAATGATGAACATTATTTGAAGGTTGGACAAAAATCCCACAATTCTATTCCTCAGGATCATTCTGTAGTCTTCAGGATTCAGATGATACCAGGGAGGCTTCCATTCAGCCTTTCAGAGAGGACATTCTGACCCACATGATCTTGTCTGCAGGAAGATGTTTGTGGCAATCACAGTGCAGGAGTGAAGCAGCTGTTTCTTCACATAATAGTTATCCCATATACCTTCTTCTGCTGCTACCATCAGCTCACCTGTGTTCAGGTCCACACCCACAAGTTGACCTGACTCTGAATGTTCTGCTTGAATTTTAACTAATGTTTCCTGGAGGTCAAAGCCAGAGTTCTGAGCAAGGACCTTGGGAATAATGAGCAATGTGTCAGCAAATGCCTGTATCCCGAGCTGGACCCAGCCCTTTACACTGGTCTTGTGTTTAATCAGCGCTTGTGCCATCGCCACTTCTACTGCGCCAGGACTGGTAACCACACAGCCATCATCAATAGCATTTTTTACAGCCCTCAAGCTATCTCTTATTGCTTCCTTGATTTGAGTGAGAGTGTGCTTATTTGCTCCTTTGATCAATAATGTGACAGAGTAGGGATTGCTACATTTCTCAATAAAGGTGAACTTCTCTTCTCCCAAAGTATACTCATAAACCAGTCCTGCATGTCCCAGACAGTCAGGATTTAGGTCATCAAAGGAATTTAGAGCCACCCCAAAACAAAAAAGAGTCAGTCTCTTCATATTTCTTCTTTTAGCTCTATGCAGAGCTACTATGCCTTCTTTTGCATGAGCATCCAAGAAAAAAGGATCAATTCCCTTTTGACTAATAACAACAAATCCTCTATCTGAATCACCACAGACCTTCTTTTTCAGTTCTACTATTTTTTTAACTCTATCTTCAATGAATTTTCTTTCAGCTTTTACTAGTTTTTCTCTCTCTTCCACATTCTTGTAGAAAAAGCCAGAATTCACTTCTGTTTTCTCATATTCCAAGGAGACATTACACATGAGAATGTATGCATTTTCCACTCTGTTTTTCATACCAGGATGCCAGGCCCCGTGGTCCAAAACAAGCCTTCTGATTAAGCTTGTATCAGTTTCAGATTTATGTTTCATCTCCATGATTTCAACCATGAACAGGTTAGTAGGTTCATCTTTTTTTCTAATGGCCAAAGTGGAATCTACTACAGCCTCTGGTAGGACATCTGTAAGTTCAGCATGAACTTTAGTGCATAGAGATATTCTGACCACATCTATAAGTGTTTTCCTGTCCATCTCTCTGCTTACTTCGACTTGTTCCAAAAACTGCAGGGCCTTTTGGTTTGGAGCTTCAAAACCTGCACTAATTATTCTGGGATGAAGACCCTTAGAAATGTAGAGATCTGCCTTCAGCAGCTCTCCAATGATAAGGACGTTGGGAGTAGTACCATCACCAGTTATATCATCCTGGGCTTTTGCTACTTTTGCTATTAATGAGGCTGTGGAGTATTGAATTTGCATTTCATGAAGCAGTGCATTGCCATCTTTAGTAAGCTTGCTGTCTCCAGCTCCAGAACTAAGCATCTCCATAGTCCCTTTAGGCCCCAAGTTGGTCCTCAGCATGTCCTGAAGTCCCCACACCATGCTGATGTTAACCACAAGTGCAGCCTGTGTTCAAGCCACCTCGGCTTTGGGGTTCAGGGTCTTCATGGTGGGCATAGCCTCCCCACTTCAGGGAGAGGGGGAAACTGGCTTGTGGTACACAGCCCTGGCCCCGCGTGGCCAAGGTGATGAGATTTTTTTTTTTATAATGATGTGAGCATTGTTTAGGAACATTAACAACAGACTGTGCAGTACAGATGCTCCTCACTTATGATGGGGTCATGTGGCAATAAACCCACTATTGAAAATATTGTGATTTGGAAATGCATTGAATACTCTTAACCTATGAACATCATAGTTTAGCAACACACAGTACACAGTGTACTATAGAGTGTTGGCTATTTTCCCTTGTAATCGTGGGGTTGACTGGGAGCTTCATCTCACTGGCTCTGCCCTGCATCTCAAGAAACTGTCACACCACATCATCACTAACCTAGAAAAGATAAAAAATTCAAACATCAAAGTGCAGTTTGCACTGAATATATATCACTTTCACATTCACATAAAGTAAAAAAAATGTTAAACTGAATGAAAAGCCTCAAGGGGCTCCAGGCAGCAGTGGTTGCTGGTTACCCAGAAAGAGTAGTGGAATGTGTAGGGTGACTGGAGGGAGCTACACCCTTTGGTGCAGGGGCAGCATCAATTCACACCTTAGCAGAGGGGGTAGAATCTGGAGAAATTGGCAGTCCCACATCCTCTCCTTACACTCACTAATCCCTCGCTGATGCTCCCATTGGCCGAGCTCAAATGAAAGTCAGAAATATCATTAACTGAGTCCAGTCTCCTAGAGTACCAAGCTGGATGGGGAAAGATGGGAAATGGAAATGCAGAGGCAAAGGGAAGATAGTCAGCATACTTTGGAGTGATTTCAACCATCTCTATGGTAAAGACTTACAGGCCATCTAACTGCCTACTTGTCATCTCAACTTGGATGCTTAGTGGATATCTCCAGTTTAGCATGTATAAAACCAAACTCCCACCTGGTCCCTTTTCTTATCTGCCACCCCCACCCACATCCTTCCTCATACCACTTAATGTGAACTGGCAGCATCAGCAATGTTTTAAAATATGGGTTTTATTATTATTCAGGTATGATGAGGCCAATAGTTAGGAGACAACTTCCACTGAAAGAGAATTTGTTACTCATAGTTTCCAAGAAAAGAAGGCATGCCATGCCACACAGGGCTACCCAGAGGAGTCCTAGGGTTGGCCAAGAGGCAGAAAGAATAGGATAAAAACATGGCGAGAGTCTTTATTTTAGTTTCTAATGGAAAGAATTTGTTAAGACAGGGTTTGGAGTTGACAAGTTTGAATTTCAGCAGGCTCTGGGGTATAGAAGTTGTTCTGAATATCTGTTACCGGGTTCTAGGCCAATTAGGCAAAGAAATATTGGCCTGGAGTGGAAAAGCCTATTGAAATAGTGAAGAGGGGCATACACTCTGGATTGGTTAGTTTGCATTTGGAGGGAACCCACAGAGATAGTAATAATATTGCTAGAGATAGTAGTATCTCTAGCAATTGACCAGTCCTGGTTGGTCAGGCCCCATATGACAAAACTTCAGATTAAAGACGGGTGATTAATATAAGCAATAGTTGAGACTCATATCCATGCATTCTTGCTTCTATAACTTGAGTAGTATATTTGGTAGGATTTATTTATTAATAAATTATGATTTAACAAAGCATTATATAAACCAGTGAACCTATGTGTACAAAAAGACAAGTTATCTTTTTCAAAACTAAGTAGGAAAGGCTTGATGAGAAAAACTTCTTTTAAATATATGTAGGTTAGGCAATACAAAATAAGACAAAAACAAAACAACAAAAATAAAATTTAAAAACTTTGATGATTTAGAAGACTATTGCTTCACAAGTATCTTTAAATTGTGGTCCACTGCAAATAAACTAGAAATTAAAAATGATATGTATGAGTATCATTTGTGTAAGAAAGATGTCAAGGAAAAATTCAGGAAATAAAATTGTTACCATGAAGTTGTTAATTTGGAGGAGCAAATAAAATTTTAAAAAATTGGCATTTTATTAACCTTGGAGGGAATGACCTAATTTCCCTGACCTAATTTCCTTCCACTGGGCTCCACCTCCTAAAGACTACACCACTTCCAATAATACCACCAGTTGGTGACCAAGTGTTTAACACATAGGCCTTTGTGGAAGAACATTCAAGATCCAAACTATAGCAGACACTGTTATGACTTCTATACCTCCTATGGAATAAGAAGAATACATCAACTATGTGCTAGTCTGGTTAATAGCATTAAACCTGAATCTAATGATGAGTACACAATGGGACAAATCCAGATCATGAGACATTCTATGAGACTATTTTCCAGACTTTTAAAAGTATGTCAACATCATGAAAATCTTAAAAAGTAAAAGGACTATTCTACATTAAAGGGGACCTAAGGCAATATGATGAACAAATGGAAAGTGTGAACCCTCTTTGGATCCTGCATTTCAAGTCTGTCATACAGTATTTTCATTGAGACAATTAGGGATATTTGAATATCATTTGCTTAAGAGTTAATATTATTTGATCAATATCAAATTTGGGGGGTGCAATTAACAAACAACAACATTGCATCACCCAAACAAAGCCCCAATACTGGGTTTTAACATTGCTTAGACTTTGATGATCTAAGAGTAGGTCCATGTTTTGGTAAGTGCTGTCAAACAGCAACCCACCTTAGACCAGAACCCTAATGTTTATAAAACTCTTCCTCCTTGTTGACCACCTAGTCTTTCTGGTCCTAATCATTGCAATGATACTTTAAAAGTGATTCGGTCTTGTAAGAACAAGAAAGTAGGATTCTGTGCCTACTTTGTTTATCACTGTATCCCTAAGCACCTAGAACAGTGGTACATAGTAAATGCTGTATAAATACCTATCAGCTCAGTGAACCAGCTATGTGAAGTCAATCAGTACAGTAAGGTCCCAACTTATAAATAATTGAGTTGTGAACTTTCACAAATATGAATGGACCTCACAGTAGGAATATTCATAGAAGCAAACAAATTGCAGAAGTAGCTCACGTGTCTGTCAGACATTGTCACAGTTGCGCTGCTGTGTGCTTACTGTACAGTGCAATAGTGTACAGTAGTACAGTGCTCAATCAGAGCCCAGGATGTCCAGAAGCAAAAGGAAAAGCAGTGGTGATGTGGAGGGGACTGCTACGAAGAGCTAAGCAATATGCATTTGCGTCAAGACTCACTTGTGATAAGACTAACTTTGTTGGACTTAGAATTGAATCTGACTTACAAATGTTCTTCTGGAATGGAACTTGTTCATAAATTGGGGACTTACTGTATATAGGTTTTTGTATGAAATAGCAGTGTGGAGCTCTTATTAATTCTACTTATTTGCAGATATTTCTTGATTTTCTTTATGGACAATCATATCAACTTTGAAAAAAATGGTTTGCTTTTTTGTTTTCAACCCTTGTAGAATTTATTTCTTTTTCTTACTATGTTGGCAGAATCTCTAATACTACAATGTTGACCAGGAGTGCTGATTATAGGGTCCCTTGCCTTATTCCTTATTTCAGAGTGAATGCTTTCAGTAATTGACACCAGGAATAGCACTTGCCGTGAGATTTTAACAGACACTTTTAAAAAGTCAGGTTAAGAAATTTCCTTTCTATTTCTAGTTTGCTAAGAGATTTTAATCATTTATGAGTGTCCCCACTTATTTATCATCTGCCACTTTGAGGATGTTCTTCTAATACCATTGAGAAATAATTACTCCTTTTCTAGTGCCTTATAGTAAGATTCACAATTCTTTATTAGTTTTCAGTGAGGGAGGCATGTTGCTTGACTTTTGTACACCATAAAGTTATCAATATGGAGGAGCAAATCAAATTTTTAAAATTCTCATTATGTTGACCCAACCTTAATGTCACATTGCATTATATGAGTTGGCAGGAATGAGACATTCCATGCCATATAAAATGCATAAAAATGTGAAATATACACTGCATATTTCAAATCAACTGACTTATAGAGCTTTATGGTAAGTGAGACTCCATGTCCTTACAATGCACATTTCAGTTGCATGTTAATTTCAAAATTCCTGTGATTTCAGAGCAACAATGGAATAACAATCACACCCACAAAGACTCAGAGACTGATTTTTCTGAAAAATTAATAAAAATTCAACTATAACCCATTTCCTAAAAGGGAGTCCAGAAGCTTATGTCTTCCCTTGGCTGAGGGAAGCTATTTCCTCACTGGCTATTCTATTCTCCACCCTTAACCCTGTCCTGACATCTGTTTTTCTAATCACTGTCAGTGAAAAGAAGTGTGATACTGTCTGAAATCTACTAATAAAAACTCTTGGGGAAGAAAATATAAAATCTTAGGCTTGCAAATCATCAACCCTGAGAGTTGGCACATTGTTGACTTGCTTAAGAGTCTGCACTTTCATTTAACATGAAAATCAGCTTTGATGAGTACGATTAGTGGTTGTGGTGGTGGAACATACAAAACAATGGTTTCAGTGACTCAGAACTGGCTAAAGTCTCTCTCTGTGTCTCTCTTTCTTTTTCCTTCTCTCTCTCTCTCTCTCTCTCTCTCTCTCTCTCTCCCTCTCTCCCTCTCTCACTTGGTGATTCATTTGGAATTGAATCAGTTCCTGAGAATGGTAAAAACTTTGAAAGGGAGCCAGCTTATCAGCATATTGATATGTAATGAAAGTCTTCTTAAATGCTTTCCAATTCCCTTTGCAGAAGTGAAGAATAAAAACCACTGTCATTGGAAAAAATTATTTGCCAGAACATTCTTTAACAAGCAGATTCATTAATTTTCTGGGGAGTACACTATCATTTTGTCTCTATCACACTGGAAGAACTGGCTGGTGTAATCAATTCCATAGAGCACCCATCCATTCAGTTAGATAACCAGTGAGGAGGAAAAGCCCCAGAAATCAATAGTAGTTGTTTCACTGAATTGATGGGTTATTGTTCGTC